TTCATTAATTTGAACTCATTCGCCTTCGTGATGAATGATTCATTCAGTCGTTGGTTGTTGCACTTATCCATTGTGCTGACTTTCTTTCTTTCAGAAGTATGTTTTAAGAGCATGAAGAAATTGTTGTTGAAGTTGACATGTCCAGTTAGTGTTACGCAATCGGATTCGGACACATGTGCTTCGCTATGAGCACACCATTGGTTCTTCTTTGCTAATTCGATGATAATCATCACTTGATTGCATTATATTAACGATCTATAGTGTGACAGTATCAACAAGAGTGTCATTTTTCATCTCAGTATTATTGAAATTCGAAAATATTAAGTGAGATTGATTGTTGTGTTGGAATGATTTGTTTTCTTGATTGTTTATGTATGCAGTAAATCATATGACTTCAGTCTGAGAACCTCCTCTCGTGTTTACAGTTCTTAAATAGACACCAATCGTACGACTTCTCATTGCGATAATCAAGCAATGAAACCGCAACAGGTACGTTGTTATTGCAGTTTTCGCCGTTTTTTCTCATCACCCTTATAATGACAACATTAGTAATTATCAGTATGAGCATTGTTTTCATGTTACCGTTAATACTCATTGTCAGATTATGACGAGTACTGATATTGTAGTGCTGATGTAATTACAGTCGTCTGTTGAATGGGAGCGGTACCGATAGTGGTGTAATTGAATATGTTCTATGGATGCCTCTCAAAACATTATTATAATACACATGTAAATTGTCATGCGAGGAAGCAACAAACTGTTTCATACATGTTATTTCATAATTAATATTCTAATAGAACCGGTTATCAGGCAACAGTACCAGTGATTTCTCTGTTAATGTTGCTATTATTACATAATGTATCATGACTGCAATTATGATCGTTAACGTTCTGATTATGGCATTATGATTTGATAATTGAATTATTGTATTATGAAATTGTTGTCATCATTATTTTTATTGCGGTATCAGATTATAGTAACGACAATATTTTGATTATTATTTTCAACANGACGTTACTTTTCTTTTTTTCGATTCGATTTCTCTCAGATTATCGTGGAAAATTCTCGTTCGTTCATCAGTTTACCTATGGTTTCATTCGTGGCGCGCCTTGTTTTGCTCTACTGCATCAAACTGCATGTATCCTTGTCAACAACCACACGTCTCATGCGTGTAATCGACTCCTCCTTTATTGTTTTCTTCTCTTCGTTCGGGCTAAATGATGAGCAAGCTCCATGGCAACGACAGAAGCAGTGCTTTCATGAGAACTAATTTCGTAAAATTTCATTGAGATATGCATATTGAAGAATATAATAAGATACGACGTGGTGCATTAAGCAGTCACGGCACTAATTAATGTGAATTGGAACACGAGGAAGTTGTTGATAGATTCATGCAGTGAGCGTTTTAATGATCACAGACGTTTTAATGTGAACACCAGAACAATCGTTCGTATAACCCTGAGTCATTTCAGCTCCATCAATAGATTTTGATAGGCTTCATATCGAATCAATCATTTATTATTTATTGCCATCATTGTGATATTCATCGTTATTCGCCTATCCAATCGTCAACAGTTTATTCGAGCTAATGCTACGACGATGCTTTTGTACTTTTGCGCTACTCAACTCCCATATTTGCTGTTAATTCTATTCATAATCGAGACAACAGCGAGTGAGTTTATGCTTTATTTATTCCATCAACAGCGAATCCATTGGCGGCTTATCGAGATAACAATCCCTATGAACCGGCTAATCCACACAAGTTAAAATTTGTTCTTTACGAACCTGCCAGTAAGCCTAACCCTCATCGTCGCAATGCAAATGGTTGAAGCCAAATTTAAATTGGTCATTACTGGCACGTAACGGTCATTGAAACTACCAAGCCTAACGCTCGTGCAGTTTTATATGTCCGTCATTTACTTCAGTAGACGGTGATTACGATTATAACAACTCATTACAAACTTTCGAATGCTTCTCTGTCGAATATCAGCGCTACTTTCGTTTTCTAACGTGCCTTTTTGACGCAACTGATGAAATGCATCGCAAATCATCCGTCTTGTTAAACTGTTTTCGAATGGTTCACTGCACGATTATTTCATTTAACGAACAACTGAATGGAATTCGGTATTTTGGCAGATGGTTTCTTTTCGTTTGGATGTTCTATGTGTCAGTTGTTTGTTCTCTACTTATCAGTACTTTGTTTTGGATGTTCTATGTATCTATGTATCAGTAACGATCACGAAATTTTCCCGAAAACAATTTGCAAAGTTGTGTGCTCAAAAATTAAACGAATCGTCGTGCTTTAGAACTTTTCCATGAAATGAGCGTTCGTGATGAGGAAAATGCATGCGGAAAATTCGATTGATTTTGCTGATCACTGATATTCTGTGAAAGAAGTAGGGGCCACAATAACTTCAGTGAGAGTTTTTAAACTATTCTTAGAAAACAGCAAATCAAAATTGACATCTTGAGGGTTTTTTTAGAATCAATTTTCTTAAAATTTAACTTCTTTGATACCATTACGACAATGCTGCTGATTTTCTTCGAGCGTTTTCATTCCTTTCTGTTCGAAAATATTGCACCATAAAAGTTTAATTGAATTTTCAGGTTTTTTTCTTCGCATTTCACTGAAACTTCATTGTGTGTTTTCTGCTGTTAGGAACAAGTTTCTCGGCCATTTGTCTAGCATTCCATTGGAAGAGACTCTCTTTTGAATCTTTGAGGTTTTGTTTCTGCGAATGNATCGTTCAGCATTCAGTTCTCTTCACTTTTGTCCTCCACAAAAAGCTAATCGCAATCTCTGTTAGTCATTCAATTTTCGGTGCTGAAGTTTCGTTCACTAAAGCTTTGAATTACTCTTGAACTGAGAAGAATGAGATACCAATACAGAGTGATATTTTATTCATATCTTGTCAAGCGTTGTCTATATCAAATTTGATATCAACATCGACACTGCTGAGTGACTGATCTCGAATAGAATACTTCAAAATATCCCAATTTGAACATGAATATGAAGAAAATCTCAAGTGCTTCTTCAAATCAATTGCAAAAAAAATCTACGTCATTTTTTTGATTCACTCGAAAGTTAGATAAAGAAACGAGCAAACCAGAGCCATCACAAGTGGCGGAAACGCGTTTTTGTGTCAAATTTTGATCTGGAATGAAATTGAAACTGCGCAGCCGATAAGAAAAGAAATGACTCGCTTTTTTCTCCAAATGCTTTCGATTGTCTTTGTGAGTGAATCCACATTAATATTATTTTTTTCTTCTCATTGCACCGCTTACGACCAGTAATTTTTGATCAGATTTTTGTGTTTATAAAAAAAATCGACGCATTCGCGTGCGCTTATGAAAATACATTGTATCCACTTGCACAGTTTTCGTAACATATTCAGAAATGAACAAAAGTTAATGTTTGGTTGTTGCCTTAATATTGACTCTCTCAAGAAATCTATTCGACTCACAAGTTAGCAGGTAATAGTTAGCTATTACCTGTTAGTATTACTCTGAAATGAAGTGGTTTGTTTTGCAATCGTCGTGGTCGTAGAAGTTGAAAAAGTGGGAAATTAATCATCACCTTGATGAGATCAGCATTCTGAGAGAAGAGAACCTCGGAAAGTGGAACGTTTGCCGCATAATAAGGTTGAAAACGATAGAATTACGTATGCGACAAGAGAAGAGTGGAGCTGTGTTAGCGAGTTTAATTGTTCAATAAAGAATAAAGAGTGGTTTATTGAATTTGGAAGCTGTTGACATGATTGAATGACAGTTTTGATGAGTTGTTCGAAGTGACACACAAACACGCCATTGGTCTCTGCTGAATGAAATTTCTCTGGCATTGAAAAATTCAATTTTATTTGTTGCTCAAGCATATCTGATCTTTCAGCTTTAGTCATCACGGCAACAAACGCACCAAAACTGGTTTTTCTGCTAGAATTTGGTGGAAGTCTTCGAAAGTATTGAACAATTAAAACAAATATCACTCACTAAAATAAGCACATTTTCAGTTGTAGATTTTCGTATTGTATATTCACTGCTTTCCAGTGAAAGTTCTAGGAAGCGTATAAAAACTGA